TATATATTTTTTTTTTAATCTAATCTTCATATGCTTTGTCTTAGCTGTCTGAAAAACTATAACCAGATCAAATCCAGATTGGTCTGCAGTGTAAATCCATTGTTGAACATAATTTTGGAGTTTTTTTTCTGTTGTCATTTACGATGTGTTTGTAGCGTCAAAAGCTGTAACGCATTTGAATTTAATTCAAATGCAGATTCAGCAATAGTGTAAATGCAACATGTAAAATCCCGTCATCCAATTATCTGCTGCTAATATCGCTCGGGCACCTCGTTTGGGAAAAATCCAATAGGTCTGGAAAGTTCTTATCATGGCGTGCGTGCGTGTGTGTGTGTGTGGGTGTGGATAAGCGAGAGATGAGTAAGTGTGTGGGTGATCAGTGAGCACGCGTGTGAGACAGAAGTTTGGTTGTTGATGGCCTTCCTGACGCTTTCTCTGTTTCGGTGTCCCGGTCCTCCAGTCCGGGAAGAGCCGCGGAATTCCTCAGAGGAGGACGCCACCACTATCCTGCATTCCGACAGAGACTTCCCCAGTCCATCTCAGGCCGGGTCCGACTACACAAGCACGCAAGAACCCTACGGAGGATCTCGATCGGGGTCCGGTCCCGCCACGCCCGTGAGTGCGTCTGGGAGTCCCGATAGCGAAGCGCTGCGGCTTCCTGGGGAAGTTGGGAACAATGGAGCGGAAACATCTGCCACCCGCCTTCCGGAGACGCCGAGGCCGAGCCGAAACGCTCAAACAAATCCGGGACTGCCAGAAGGGACGCGTGGGCCTCACACCTCTGGGCGGTTCACTTTTCCACCTGTGACATCATCGCTGACCTTATGGACCCTGCTAGCGACCCCTGCTGGTACCGCGGCGGCAGTTTATCTCAAGAATCTTCGCCGAGGGAAGGAAGTCACTTCAGACCCCGTTTGGAGTGCGGCGTGGTCCCAAACGGATTTGTCAAAAAGTACACAGAGAACCTTGCGCCTGCCAGATGCCGCCGAGGGGACGTCGGGGATCCCAGGTTCTACTGGGACCACCGGGGATGCCCCCATCGTGTCCGGAACGATCCGGAACTCGTCAAAGTTGGAGGACGGGACGGAAATGCCCCGGCCCGCATCCCCCACGAGCACAAAGACAAAGTCCGGCAGAGTGGTGACTTTTGGTGACTCCGAGGATGGGATGGAAACACCCAGTGGCGCAACCCTCGTGGGGGTCCTTACGTTGGGGCTCTTCCGTGCAGGAACGACGGCACCCAATCCCTTGCCCAACGTGCGCACCGTGTTGGTGGTCGGACGGGTTCCCGATTCTGAGGGCCAAAGGGGAACGCCCCGATACGCGACCCAGGTAGGGGTCTTGAACTTCACTGAGGAAGGGGCGGGAGCGCCTGGGCAGCCCACCCGCGCAAGAACCACTTTGTCATCCGGAGGGGTCCGGAACATCCAAGGCTCCGAGGACGGGTCAGAAACTCCTGGACACCCGTCCCACGTGAGCGCCGTGACGGCGTCCGAAGGGTTCCTGAGCTTCGGGGGCCTCGAGGATCGGACGGGAACACCTGGACGCTCGCTACACACGTCCACCGGGACCGCGTCTGAAGGGTTCCTCGGCTCGGGAGCCTCCCGGGCTCATACAGACCGAGCGGGACACTCGCCTCAGCCGAAGGTCCTGAGCACCGGGGGCCCCGAGGACGGAACTGGAACGCCTGGAGGTTCGCTCCTCCCGAGCACCGTGTTGGCGTCGGGTTCTGAGGATGTTACGGAAACGCCGCGCAACACGCCTCAAGTGGAGCTTGTCAACTCCGGAAACGGGACGGCATGGCCGGAAGACGCGCCTCCCGCGAGCACCATTCGGGCATCCGGAGGAGTTCAGAAGTCGTCAGCCGCAGAGGCAGCAACACTCGGACCCACGTCCCAGGTGGCGGTCTCCAGCCGAGGGGGGTCCCGGGATGGGACGGCAACGTCCGGACGCTCTCCCCCTGCGACAACCGTGACGGCATCTGGAAGCGTCTCCGGTTTAGCGAGCTCTCACGACACGGGCGGCGCCCTCGACACTACGCCTGCGCCAGCAACCCTTCGGAACCCCGCCGTGTCTCCACCCATCCCGGATGTTCTGACCCGGGCCTTGACTCCCGATACCGCGCCCCGCATCACGCAACAAATGCTGACGACTGAGCTACAAGGCACTCGGGGCGGCAACGCCGCGACCGCCCAGCGGCTGGTCCCGGAAGCCCGACCCGCTTCCACCCCTTCGAGTTTTGCCACGACCCGGGAACCGAAAGTTTACGTGGTGCCGGACCAGCCCGCCACCATCCGAGGTTCGCGTGTGTGTATACCGGCATGTGCACAAGGGAAGATCTGCGTTTGTGTGCCTGTAGACGCGTTTGTGTTGTGGCTCTTCTCCAGTGGAGTCCATCGAGCTGCTGCTGCAGATCGTCGCGGACGACTCCGGCTCCACTTCCGGTCCCGACCTGGAGGAGGACACCGGCGCCTGGGTGGGTGGGGAGTTTTTAGCATTTTCGACACATATGCTTGATACGTATTTTTGAGGTTGCAGTTTTGCGAAGACCATCGACGAATTGGGGGAGGGGACGTAGTCAGGGCAAGATTCCGGTGGCGACTCGCGGGAAGACCCAACGGCTGCAAGCTGAAGTTTGCTGATGATGCCGCCCGTGTTGCAGGTGGAGCCTTACCTGCGGAGGGCGCCGGGCTTCAGCCGAATCGTGGCCGTGTGGGCCAGGTGAGCGGTCGGTCGCGCTGATCCCGGGACCACCTACCAAACAGCTTTTCTTTTGTTTCCTTTTTTCATTCCAGCGGTCGAGCCGTGCAGATGCTGCTGGAGTTTCACAGCCGGGGCGCTCTGCGGTGGCTGTCCGCCTCGGGAGCCTCCGCGCTGCTGCGCCAGACGGGACTTGACCTGGTCGCGCCCCAGGGGCGGAGCTTCAGAGGCTCCAAGGTGCTCAATGTCACACTGGGAGGTGAGAACATCATCTTCTCCAACTGTGGCTGGATGGACAAACAATGCTGGAAACGTCTGTGTGTGTGTGTGAGAGACGCAGGGGTGCAGGAGGACATTTGCGATTGGTTGCTCGGGTGTCCAGCGGGCTTCCGTTGCATTACTGGGCCCAGCAACAACTACAGCTGCTCCTCCGTTTGCCATTTTGACTTCTGCCACCATCATGGCGTCTGCACACACCACACGAGAAAACTTCCCGTTTGTCGGTAGGAACGCACGCGTGCACACACACGCACACGCACACGCACACGCACACGCTCCCTTCTGGCGTGTATGGTCAGGTGCCTGGTGGGCGAGGACTTCTGGTTCATGGGTTCACGCTGTGACGTCCGGATGACGCGCACTCGCCTGGTGTGCACCTGCGCGTCCGTCCTCGTGTTGGCCGTGGCCGTGATCGGCGCGCTGGCCCTGGTCGCCGTCCGACGCTACCGAGCCGCTCTGATCCGGGCCAAAGTGGACCAGACGCGGAGCAGGTGAGAGCAGTCCTGATGTTTTACTCCAGTCCACTAGGCGGCGGTAGCGTCTCGTACAAAATGGATGCCAGCACGGGTGATGCCTGGGAGCACGTTCCTTTGTAACTTTCTCACGTATGACTCCAAAATGGCGGCCCTTTTGAGTGTCTAGTGCTCTTCACGTGTTTTGAAATGAGTCGCCTGACTAAAAGCTTTCACAGTGATTCATAACGAGTCGCGCTTAAAATTACAGCTAGCTCACAGATCTGTAGTTTTCTGCACTGACTCATTATCAGGAAAATACTTCATCCGCCTTGATAAAAATAATTATTTTTGTTCAGTTAAAAACGGTCTTTTTTTTTTCATATTCAACCATCACTGTTAAAACTTAAGCAGTCCTAATTTTTACATTCAGCAGAATTGTCGCGGCTGCCGAAAGTAACTCAGAAAGTAACTTGTAATCATTAAAGTAGCCAAGTTACTTTTTCAAGGTAACTATGGCAACACTCGGAGTTTTTTTTTTCTCTTCCCCTCTGTTGCCATCTGCTGGATATTGTCGGTCACCCACTCGCAAGTCTCACACACACAAACTTGGTGTTTCTTTTCTTTTCATGTATTTTAAATATTATGTAAAATAGTATTTTTTTTATTATTTGAGTTGTTTTCCATGAGTTCATATTTATATTATTTTTTTTAAACTCATTTACTTTTCAATTTTGTTTTTAACAATTTTCTTTTGAATGTATGTGATGTTATCTTTTCGTCTACAGTATTTTAAATGACTTTTTTTTTTTGGTTTGTTTTTTTTTAATACTGTATTGGTGACATTTTTGAAAATGGTTCCTTTCTTGCGGGCCGCTTCACTGCACTCCCAGCTGTGGCCTCGAGGGGTCACACTCGAACTCCAAATGATTGCTCATTTTCAAAAGCTGCAGCCTTCATTTTTACGTGATGTAAATCAGACAAAGCAACTGGGCCCTTTTGTTCAATAAAAATATTTTGTACATCTAATAATTGTAGCATTAAAAATATTTTTGGAATTACCTCACCGAAAGAAATAAAATGTATATAAATGTAAAAATGAAATTAGCTTATTAAGGTAATGGCAATTTGTATATTCAAATCCTGGTAGTCCAAACTAAAAATATTTGTAATTCATTCAATTATCACAAAAAAAGTATTTTGAAGAAGTCAATTTTTTTTTTAAAGTCTTATTCTTTCAAACAAAAAAAGTAATTCAAAAGTAGTTGGTTAAATTTATGGCGGAGGAAACGTCCTTCTTTCTAAAATAAGAAAAAAATTAAAGTAATATAAAAAAACGAAACAAATTAAAAATTGAATGATGCAAAACTCTGATATTTTTAATTGATTCAATAAAACAAGTTGATTTAAATGAATGAAACCATTCTGAATGAATGTACCGGTACTATGAAATGGTCAGTCTGATTGTGTTTGTGTTTGCAGCTACAGGCGCTTCAACCATTTCGACGAGCTGTCGTCTCGCTTCTGGCCGCGCTCGGCGTCGGCAGCTTCCGCTGACTCGATGGACAATCCGGCATTCACGCGCTCTGACGAGCTGCTGCACATGCGAGCTCTGGACCGGCCCTGCTGCTACCACGATGACACCTTGTCGCTCGCCTCCGCCTCCGCCTCCGCCTCCGCCTCCTCTGGCTGCACCGGCCGCGCCGCGCGCCTCAACACCATCTACCCCGACAGGTATACACGCACACACATACGCACACATGCCATCCAGCCGAGTCACGTGTTAAATCAGCAGTTGTGTTCCGAGACACTCTTTGTTTTCTATGAATTAATTCTTTCCATCAAAGTCGAGTGTTGCCTTCAGGGATGGTCTGAAATCACAATTTTATTCATATCTGTCTAAATCGGGCGATCGCTTCATTGACAGAAATCTTCAATTGCTCAGTTTCGTGTTGCCTTTCCGGAACACCAAAAATCACCTTTATCAATGTCAATCAAGTGTTGCCTTCAAGGACGCTTTGAAATCAAAGCCTTCAAACTACGTGTCGATGTCAGGTGTTGCCTTCAGGGTCAGTCTGAAATGTGTTGTCTCTCGATCCAAATCAGGTGCGACCTTCAATGACAACTGGTGAGTTGCCTTTCAGGGACAGTCTGAAATCATAGCCTCGATCTACATCGGGTGTTGCTTTCTTTTCCACATTTTCGACCAAGTCAAGTCTTGCTTTCGGGGCCAATCTGAAAATCTCTCGGTCACACGCTGCGTTCGTCTCGCTTGTCACACGAGTGTAAAAAGAAGCATGTGTGCGCGGCAGCTCTCAGTACGGTTGGTGCGGCAGCGAGCTGAGCATGGGCGACGGCGTGCTGGACTCGGGCAAGGCCAGCGACTTGTCGGTGTGCAGCTGGCCGGTGGAGCCCATCCACTGGACGCCCTTCCCGCTGCTGCGGCGGCTGGCCGCCCCCCGGCACCCCAACGCCGTGAGTACTTGGAAAGCCACGCGCTCCTTTGCCGAGTCCCGCGACATCCGTGTCCTGAGCTCACGTCAGATTTCAAATATGGAACCATTTCAAGGAGCAACGCAATCGTGTTTTTGTGTGATTGCTGGAACAAAACAAATAAATAAATGAACTCTGGTTCAGCCCATTCAAACTGTCTTCACAACACATATTTTTCTTTTTTTCCACAGAAACATTTTTTGTGACTGATTCAAGGTTATTCCCTCCTCCTTCGACATTTCTTGACGAAATCAAACCATTGCAGCCAAAAATATTTTCACATTTTCCCCAACAAGGTCACTAATGCAAGCTCGTTTAGCATGGCTCAGCTCAGCTACGTTTTGTACAGCGGGGCCTTTCGGAGCGATATCGAGAGCAAGCGGAAAAGTGTTTCTCCTCGAGAGGCCGACTTCTCGTTGCACCGTATGCTACGCAAGCTTAGCAGCATCTGTCCTTGTGTTGCCTCTTCAGGCTCGGACGTCCAGGCCGCGCTCGTACTGCGACGGCATGGAGCTGGTGGACATGAACCGCAGCTGGACCGCGTGACTCGGATGCTCTTCGGCCATCAAACGCTCTCGGTGTGCGTGTGTGTGTGTGTGTGTGTGTGTGTGTGTGTGTGTGTGTGTGTGTGTGTGCGCGCGCGCATAAAAAAGTGAGCCGGTGATCGATCAATCAATAAATACTGTGTGACTATTGTGTGTGCATGCGTGGGTGTCATTCAGTGCAAATGCCGCACCTGCTCGAAAATATACTGAAATCTCGGCAAGTATCACCATCGTGGCAAACGTTAAAATACAGGAACGTATTAGGCCTAAGTGTTCAGTATCGCGATTAAAAAACGATTCATCAAATAATTGGAATGATTTGATTGTTCAGAAAAAAAAGGATGCTGTTTGTTTGGGTTGTTTTTTGTTTTGTTTTTTTTACCTTGAAGCTTTGTTGGGATTATTTTTCCACACAGACCATGAAGTTACCATGGAAGCGCGCACCGCTCGCTGTTGAGCTGAATTTCAATTTGACTGCTTGATTTGATCCAAAGGACGAATACTCGGATAGTGTTCATCAAAAGTGAGAAAGTGGTTTTGTTCCTGCAACGCACTCTGTATTTTATCATCACTGAAACATTTATGCACAGTACAACGTTTGAGCACGAGCTTGAATATCGGGGAGAGAAGAAAATCCATGGAAAAAAAATCTATATATATATATATAGATCGAGATGTAAATTGTATTGCACCCTAAAGTCTAAATCGGGTGGCCAACCAGTCAGAGTCTAAGAGCTAAACTTTTTACAGTGTTCCTGCAGAGAGCCACACACACACACACACACGCACTCACGCACATATGTATGCACACCACGACGAGTCACAGCCGAACATAAATGAAACCGAAAGACTCAAGCACACATCTCCCCCCGCCCCACATTTCCTCCTCCTACTTGGGACCAGTCCGCTGGCTCTTGGTCGATTGCGATCGACGTATTGGGCACCTCTGCCTTAAAAACAGACCTAATTCGCTGACTATCTTAGCACTTTACTCAGTTGTCTGCGCATGAACAGTGATTCAGTCATCTGATTGGTTGCCCTCTATGTCAATCAAGTAACTGGACTGCTGATAGGCTGACATAGTACGTTCCGTGTTTTAAGCGCCGTTGTTTGAATGGCAGCGCTCTCGCCGAGGCGTTTTCGACAATTGTCGTGTGAAAGCCCGGGAGCCGCATTGAACCGGCCAAAGAACCGTTTGCGGCT